CTTTCCACGCAACAATCTGTTGTTATCGGTGCCTTGTATCGGCCTGGATCCTGTGCGGACAACGACACCTGTCTGATTGAGTATCTTGGACCTGCACTAGACGTGGCCCGCACTCACGGCACTCACATAGTGCTAGCTGGGGATTTTAATGTCCATCACGAGACTTGGCTCTGCAGCAGCAAAACAACTGTAGCTGGAGAGGCCTTAGAAGAATTGTGTGCTGAGCATCAACTCCACCAGCATGTCTTGCAGCCGACTAGGGGTCTGAACACCCTGGACCTCATCCTCTCCAACATGCCCGTTCCTATCGACACCACTGTCAAAGCGCCACTTGGTCGCTCTGACCATGGGGTTGTTCTTGCCGACTTTTACCTCACCCCTGATGCTGAGCAAGCTACCTCCAGGACTGTCTGGCGCTACAATCAGGCAGACTGGGGGCGCCTGCGGGCCTTCTATCGCACTACTGACTGGTCCACCATTGTGACTGACGACCCTGAAGAGTCCTGCAGGAAGCTAAGTGACGTCATCTCCAGTGGCATGCAGAAATTTATCCCCGCCAAGCAGCTTGTTACCCGCCCAGCAGACCCCAAATGGTGGACTCCTGAGTGCACCACAGCATTGAACACTAAAGACAAGGCATGGAAGGCCTGGAGACACAATATTTTCAGCGAAGCCCACAAGGCTTGCTTCATGCGCTCAGTAGAAGATGCTATCCTCGCGAATGTGCGAGCTCGCACATCCTGGGAACTGAGAGTTCGTCGGAAACTGTCACGCGGAGGCCTGAAAGACAAGCAATGGTGGTCGGTGCTCAAATCTGCTGCTGGCGCCAGTCATGGCTCGTCTATACCATGCTTGGTAGATGACGCTGGTCACCAACTCCGTATGAATGCTGCCAAAGCGAACTGCCTTGGTCGCTACTTCGCCAATAAATGTAGCCTTGGAGATGGTGACTTGGGCCCGGGGGATCTCCCTCATGTTCGCCAACCCGGGGTCACCCCACTTAGCCGAATCCACTTCCGCCTGCAAACAGTGAAACGCCTCCTGAACCAGCTCGACGTTGGCAAGGCGTCCGGTCCGGACAACATCCCTGCCCGAGTGCTCAAAGAGTGCTCCCATGAACTTGCATCGCCTCTCACGTCTCTCTTCGCCCTGTGCTTCCGTAAGGGTGTCCAGCCAGAGGCCTGGAAGAGTGCTCGAGTTGTGCCAGTCTACAAAAAGGGCAGCCTATCCAACCCTAAGAATTACCGCCCAGTCTCCCTCCTCCCCATCATCTCCAAAGTGATGGAGCGTATTGTGAACTGTCAAATTGTGAATCACCTTGAAAAACATCATCTCTTGTCAACCAAGCAGTACGGATTTCGCAGTGGCCTTGGAACAGCGGACCTACTAGCAGTGCTTGGGCATGATTGGTCGCTGGCAGCTGGTTCTGGTGGCTGTGCCCACGTCCTGGCTGTCGACATTGCTGGTGCGTTTGACCGCGTGTCGCACCCCGGCGTCCTACACAAAGCGGCCACTCTCGGTATTGGCGGTAGCCTGCTGCAGTGGCTACGGGACTATTTGCGGAATCGCACACTAAGCGCAATCGTCAATGGACAGGAATCTGCTCAATTCCAGATTAAAGCTGGCGTACCCCAAGGCAGCATCCTGGGACCCACCTTATTCTTGATGTATGTCAACGATGCTGAGACCTGTCTTTCCCCATCAACACGAATGGGTGTGTACGCAGATGACACCACGCTGTACACCATCATACGATCCAGACATGACTCTGCTGGCAGTATTGCAGACATGCAATCTAGCCTGGATCGATTGAGTAGCTGGGGAGAACAATGGCGAATTCGCTTTGAGCCGACAAAGTCGCAGCTGCTGCATATTGGCCACCACCGCAACCCCTGGCCACTCCCAGACCTAACGTTCGGAGCCCATGATATTCCCTGTGGGGACGAGCTGAAGCTTCTGGGAGTGACCTTCGACAGCAAACTCACCTTCAGACGCCACCTCCGCAATGTTTCTCTTCGTGCCGTAGCCCGACTAGGATTTCTGCGTCGAGCATCAAGTTTCCTTGGTCGTGAAGGACGCTTGACAACGTACAGAGGCTTCGTACGCCCTGTACTCGAATACGCACCATTGACATGGATGGGCGCAGCCAACTCTCACCTGCAAAGTCTCGACCGAGTACAGCGGAAGGCCCTTGCTATCATTGGTCCTGACGCCTTGCTGCAGAGCCTAGCTGCCCGCCGCCAAGTGTACGCTCTCACGTACATGTACAAGCTAATGTGCCTTCAAGACCATCCAGATCTCTCTGCGCTCGTGCCGCCTCGCCAGGAAGCTAGCCTCGTCCCGCAGACAAGGTCGCAGCTCCGTGTCCGCCACCAGCATCAGCTACAAGCAGTGCTCCTCCCTACGGCCCCCAACTTTCTCCAGCGTTCGTTCCCATATGGTGTAGTGGATGAATGGAACAGGCTTCCGCAAGACATGTTTCCGGATCCGATGCCCCAGTTGAAGTCTCTCCAATCCTTCAAGGAGAAGGTCCATCGCCACTTGCGTCAAAAGAATTGGCTTTGGGCTACGGACTCCCTGTGAGGCTATGCCACCCGTCAATGAGCAACTACCCTCGTCCATCATCTCTTTCTTGTTTTATATGTATTTCTCTTCTCATCTCTTTCTTATTTTATTTTATTTCTCTTCTCATCTCTTTCTTGTTTTATTTCTCTTCTCATCTCTTTCTTGTTTTATTTTATTTATTTATTTCTCTCTCTCTCTCTCTCTCTCTCTCTCTCTCTCTCTCTCTCTCTCTCTCTCTCTCTCTCTCTCTCTCTCTCTCTCTCTCTCTCTCTCTCTCTCTCTCTCTCTCTCTCTCTCTCTCTCTCTCTCTCTCTCTCTCTCTCTCTCTCTCTCTCTCTCTCTCTCTCTCTCTCTCTCTCCTCCCTCTCCCCCCCTCTCCCCCCTCTCTCTCTCTCCCTCTCTCTCTCTCTCTCTCTCTCTCTCTCTCTCTCTCTCTCTCTCTCTCTCTCTCTCTCTCTCTCTCTCTCTCTCTCTCTCTCTCTCTCTCTCTCTCTCTCTCTCTCTCTCTCTCTCTCTCTCTCTCTCTCTCTCTCTCTCTCTCTCTCTCTCTCTCTCTCTCTCTCTCTCTCTCTCTCTCTCTCTCTCTCTCTCTCTCTCTCTCTCTCTCTCTCTCTCTCTCTCTCTCTCTCTCTCTCTCTCTCTCTCTCTCTCTCTCTCTCTCTCTCTTTCTCACTTGATCTCCCTCCCTCCCTAGCTGCATTCCTAACGATGCCTGGTCGTAGGCTATGATTCCGAGACCTCCGGTCGGATGAGCCTCGCCAACCACATCGGCACATCGCCCCTACTCCCCTTTGTCTTGTTGTCCAGCGTCATTTCAGTTGTCCTCTTCCCCTGATTATTAGTAGGGCTGTGTTTTTTAGTAAAAAAAAAAAAAAAAAAAAAAAATCGATCGCTTGTTGCTCCTCTGTTGTTGGTCCTCTGTTGTTTGAGCTTGGAACTTGGTCCAAGAGTGAAGCTTTGGTCTTCTTGTGTGGTGAGGGGGAAGAATGGGTATCTGGACTCCTGGTATATTTCCGTAAAGAACCTCGAATTGTAAAATCCTGACAGTACATACATGTACATGTATGTCTGGCCCACTCCGGCTCCCCGGTCATGACACTACATGACAGTGCTGGCAACTGAAATCCGACCGCTGAGCGGTGCGTTCACATTCTAGCGGTCTCTACATGTATTTCGTAGCTTAACTATCCCGTGTTGGGTCTTTGCGATGTGCCCGCACCGCTCAGGGGTCGGATTTCAGTTGCCAGCACTGTCATGTAGTATTATGGTTGTGTAGTTCATACAGCCTCTTTTACCGGCAAAATAAACACAATTATGATTTTTTTCCCAAGCATTCCCAAAAACTTAAACTCAAAGTAACAAGCTCTAGAAAGAAAAAAATGCAAAACACGCAAAAAACGCAACAACAAAACACAAAGTTACAACAGCATAATAATGTAGTACATGTTTACCTACTTAGGTAAACAGCAGCAAGTTCACCCTCAACTTGGCTCAAGTCAATAATCCTGTTACTAGGGAGGTTCTGCTATACGTGAAACGTAGAGAAATCACGTAGAGAGCAGGTGTCTGGGTTAGAGTCTACGGCTTCGCGTGTTTTGGCTCCAGATTTCTACGCGGAGATGGGGTTCTCTACGTTGTGGCACACGCAGAGAAAATGCGTACGGATTTGCTGGGTATCGATCAACTGCATGCAGAAAACTGCCAAATATGGAAGGGGAAAGTCCCAGTACACATTCCACGTGACTTCTCCAGGTGAAACGTAGAGCAGAACAGCATTTCTTTACGTTACGGGAACGCGAAGAAAGTTCGCGTGATTCTTTGCGTCGCGTTCCCAAAACGTAGAGCAGAACCTCCCTACTGATACCGCTCGTGCACGCTAACCCGGTACCTGGGCCTCTACCACTGTCAGCGCAGCAGAGGTATCACCCACAGCTAAGGCAAACTGGCTAGAGAGCCTTCCGCACCCTCGGAGGCACATGATGCAGGACCGCAAGAGGGAGAAAGCGATCCTGCACCTGATGGAAGCCATCACATGAGAGTACTGCTCCCCTCTCTTGGCCGCCAACAGAGAGGCCACTCGTTTGTAGAGGGCTGTTGCTGCCTTACCCATGCCGCTCGCAGACATCACAGCTAGGCATATGCGGATAATGCCGGCAGAAAAATTGGTAGAATTCTGTACTTTTTCTGGTAAGTTTCATGCATGTTTTGTATGTGGATAAAGAAATGGAGCAGAATTCGAGGAATTGCCCGCCATAAGGTTTGTATGGTTCTGCCAATTTCACTGCTTTTCGAGCAGAATCTGCCACCTTTTTTTAGCATTATCCGCCAATGCCTAATCACAGCCGGAACAAAAAGTGGCATGCTCCACTTGTCTCCCTCTCTCTCTCTCTCTTCGTAGTGTTTTGCAACACAATACAAATTGTTTACTTCTGATCCGCAACAATACCAAACTGCGGCTGGGAAAACATTGTAAATAACTCAAGTATGGCGGCTGGAAAAGCAAAAATATGCATGCATAATCCACGGGCGGGAAGTAACACTATTCCATGAGTTTTCTGAAGGCCTCACCTTCGAACTCTAGCGGGAGTTATGAAAGACAAAATGCAGAATCATCATGGTTACGCCACTATTACAATCCTGCAGTATGCTGAAGGCGGCGGTGGGGGAGGGGGAAATGAAGTTAGAATAATTCTATTTTTATTGTAAATACCAAACGGAAATGAGGATGGGGCAAAACAGTGAACACCATCGGCAGATCGTCAAGTCAGTGCGAGTTTGCACCGGCCTTGTAAGTGATGACTAGCGTGCATGTGCGCGCACGTGCGTACACAAAAAAAAACACACACACACAGACATACACACAGACGCATACACACTCTCATGTGGCAAGTATCCTCGGACAAGTCTTGCCGTAAGCGTATTACTGGAGTGCCGTCATACCTTGGTCACGGAAAGAATTCATTTAAAATATTCTTACAATCCGTCTGCAAAGAAAGAAACCACACGCAAGAAATGGTTACTGAGGGGACGTTCGTTTTCGATCTACAGGTTTGGGTGGTGAGTTGACTACTTCTACACATACTCTGGTATTCTCAGACATGCTCTCGTAAGTCGGATCAAGTACACACCAAAACGGGCTTATTCAAACAATACAACATGGAAAGAAGGAAGAAAACCAAAGATCCAAGGGATGAAACTCGACAATGAAATGAAAATTTAAAAAGGTGTAATCCAAAGAAACTCAAGGCAGGTGTAACAAGGTCGTGTAAAACTCATTCCCTAGACGAATGCTTTGAAAAATGTAAAGTGTGCATGAATGATTCACGCTGAGACTTCGGCACGCAGAGAACAACAAAAGCTACACAAAGTCACAATCCGACCTTGATTACTACTACCAAGAGTAGATAAACAAGAGTGTGCAACTCCGGATCTCTTCTGCACAATCTGCAGATACTACCGCTCGTGGCGGAATTTTTTGTTGACGTCACCTTTTTTCAGAAGAACGTGCATTTTGCCCCAGAGCAGTGTGAGAGCACGTGCTGGGCACCGACTTTGTAATGTAAAGCCCGGCCAAGTGCACGAGGCAAAACTTTCCAAAAGACTCGCAGCGCGTGCATCGTCGAAAAGATTACGTCAACAATAAATTCCGCCGCGGGCCAACCCATCCCGGAGTTGTACACTCTTGTTTATCTACTCTTGCTACAACTACTACTACTACTACTACTGCTACTCAAAATCTTTATTTGAAAGAACCCGAAGTTATAAATATGTAAAAGGAACAAAAAAGAAAAAGAAATGCTAAGCAAAACAATGATGAAGGCAATTCAAAATCAATAATCAGAGAAGCTAGCGAGAAAACAAGAAAAGAACACAATTGTAACTCCAAGGCACGAAACAGGGATTACATGGAAGAGATCATTCGTAATAGAAAAACAAACAAACACAAAAAAACAAAAAAACAAATACAAAACAAAAATCAATAACTGGAGATCTTTTGCAAACTGAGCGAGACATTTGAACACGCGACGACAGTTCACGACATTCATGAACAAAATTTGCAGAGCGCTTAGTACGATAGGACGCTCTGCGGCCACGCAAACAAGTGATGCACCAACGAAGGAGACAGAACTATAAAGGACAGCGCATATGACTCATGACAACAGAGTACGATAGATCGATATTCTTCTCGAGAATCAGGCTAACCAGAGATTTCAAAAATATGGTGCATTCCTTCCCAGCCATGCCATTTGCCGCAAACACAAGCGGAATGAAACTCCCTCTATCAACTGTATTGTTCCTCTCGCCATACTGCCGCCTCTTCTCTCCTTTGTTACGCTCCAAACGACTCGTGACTTTGGAACGCGACAGCAAGCTGGCCCTAGTGTGCATCACCCGGATATCGAAGAAGGCCTCCTGCTGCCGCGTCCAAATACCACGAGCCCGTATGTCAACACGAGCCTCAACGGAGCGATTTGCCGTCAACCCCTGGAGCTGCTCCTCCTGATATGGAAGGAGTGTACTTCCTCTGCCCAAGCAACATTTTCGCTTATCTTTCCACCTTTTACTGATACATTCTAGGTTCTCAGAACGGCTTACAACGACTCAGAATGAGTTGAGGAGTCGTTGAACATCAAGAGAAACTCTCCAAGTCGAAAGATGTAGAAGTCATCCTTTGTCATCAGCCGACGCAGCACTTGTTGTCGGGTAGTACTTCGCACTTTCCAGAAGCGCAAATATTTTGTATCGACACTTTTCTAAGCGCTTCACTCCTTCATGAGTACGATCGGTAGTGTTTCTTACCAGCCGAAGCTGACGGGCTCAGCGTCGCTTCAGGATCGTTCACGTTGACATTAGGCGAATGAGCTGGGTCAGTGACGACCCTGTCATCGAAGCCTTTCTTTTCCCCTGTTTTTCCCAGTGCCGATTCTGGTTCGTTTTGCAGTATGTGGGCGAGCGTCGCTGAGTGGCTTTCTCAGCGTCAAGCTCACGTGCATTTTAACCGTACACACATCTTGTGCCGGATGCAATCAAACACGCTGGCTTTTCACAACATGACACCTCTGCTCTGTACTCCAGTGGTACTCTAGCAGCACCCAGCCACCCACCTTGACCAGTGACTGACTTCGTGTCTATTTTACCAGTCCACTCGCGTTCAACGCGCTCTACTCTAGGTGTTTCTTTACTCTTTGCCGACTTCGCCAACTTGTTTGGAACTGGTACGTCTGAACCAGCAGATATGTGTGATGGTGAAGTGCACAAAAGGCAAACATTGCTGCCAGACACCTGTCATTGGGCTGAAGGAGATAAGCAAAACTTTTGCCTGGGCGGAGGAATTAGGAGTTGCATTATTTGATAGACCGGACACTGATTCCTACACTGATTCCTACACTGATTCCTACACTGATTCCTACACTGATTCCTACACTGATTCCTACACTGATTCCTACACTGATTCCTACATTGATTCCTACACTGATTCCTACACTGATTCCTACACTGATTCCTACACTGATTCCTACACTGATTCCTACACTGATTCCTACACTGATTCCTACACTGATTCCTACACTGATTCCTACACTGATTCCTACACTGATTCCTACACTGATTCCTACACTGATTCCTACACTGATTCCTACACTGATTCCTACACTGATTCCTACACTGATTCCTACACTGATTCCTACACTGATTCCTACATTGATTCCTACACTGATTCCTACACTGATTCCTACATTGATTCCTACACTGATTCCTACACTGATTCCTACACTGATTCCTACACTGATTCCTACACTGATTCCTACATTGATTCCTACACTGATTCCTACACTGATTCCTACATTGATTCCTACACTGATTCCTACACTGATTCCTACACTGATTCCTACACTGATTCCTACATTGATTCCTACACTGATTCCTACATTGATTCCTACACTGATTCCTACACTGATTCCTACATTGATTCCTACACTGATTCCTACACTGATTCCTACACTGATTCCTACACTGATTCCTACATTGATTCCTACACTGATTCCTACATTGATTCCTACACTGATTCCTACACTGATTCCTACATTGATTCCTAGGTTCAAACCCCAGGATTGACGGTAGTTACATTTTTCTCTCCTTGCATGTTTTTTGTATCTTTCCGTGAGTCACTCATGAGTTGTGTATAGCTAAAACCCGTATTCCTCCACTTTACCCATGTGACTCTCTTTGGCGAACTGTGATTGGCCGCTTATTCTAATATTCCAGAATGTGCTCAATATTGTCGGTAACCGGTTATCGAAGAGTGCTCATTGGTCACTGACAGAAAACATGGCTGCCGCTCGCCGTGTGTTTTGTCTTCTTACATTGTTCTTTTCTTGTGCTCTTTCACTTCTTATCTTTACTTGCCGAGTGTGCAACTAATATTCTGTCCTTACGATTATTCGTAAAACCACAAAGTGAGTGCTTTATTTGAGTGTGTGAAATTGTCTCCGAGAGCCAGCTACTACAGGAGCTTCAGCTTGACCTCCACGTCTTGAACAACTGCACGCATTACATCTGCTAGGAGATCCCAGACCTCATTGTGTCTGGCGGTTGGATACCCTCCGCAAGGGCAGGTCATCGCATGGTCCACAGTCATTGCCTTGCCGCACACACAATTTGGGGATAGGCCATCCAGCTGCAAGCCGTAGCGAATGGCGATAGCGTCTCTGAAATCCGAGCGATTCAATACCGTACCATTGGCAACTCCTGGCGATGACGTGAGCCAGGATGAAACTCCTTTGCTGGCGCCACTGCAAATGTTTACCAGAAACCGTTGGCTTTCAGAAAAACTGTCCTTGCTGTTGTTGAGAGCCTGTTGTGGAGGGCCTTTGATCTTTGTACAGTGAAACCTGAAAAGGCGACCAATCATATGAGGCGACCACATGTTCCAGAAGACCACTGCAACCAGGACCAAGAGGTGATAGTTTCAGTCAAATGACCCTGGCTAAGAAGGCCACCTGGTAGCAGAGACCGCGTTTTGAAGAGGTCCCTTGAGCGGCGGTCGTCTTAGACAGGTTTCAATGCACCAAACTTACGTGGAGTACACGCTTGAACCTGATTCGTTCCATTGCACACTGGTTGCGGATGAAGGTACTGATAACCTTGTTCACAAGTGACATGTCCCGTAGCTGATATGCTGAGAATGTGATCCTGCGCCATGCGCTTGCAGGCTGGATACGAAGAAGGACAAAGGGAAGCAGAAAACGTAATTCAAACACGTTTACCTGCCTCCAAATTACAGTGCATTTCAAACAGATTAGCAATTTCGGGCACCGATATGTTTTGTATTTCAAAGACGTTTCTATCAGTTCGAATAACATGCATGATGACTTGATGACGCTATATACCGTAATGTCGCGTGCATTAGCCGGGGCTTATATGCCTTTAAGCCGGTGATGGAGTCAGGCTTGTACACAAGACAGGCTTATACACGAGACAGGCTTATATGACAAGCACCACTCAATGACCAGGCTTGTATGCGCAAACTGCTGACTTTTGGACGTCAAAACCAACATTTTCCAACGGGATTTTTTTTCTTTTTTTTCGCTCCCTGAACCGCGTCCCCCCTCTCCTTTCTCTCTCTCTCTCTCTCTCTCTCTCTCTCACACACACACACACAAGCAACTTGCCAAGGGACAAGACGGAAAATGCCATGGGAAAGGTAAGTTTGAAGCTTGAAGAGTGCTGCATGGCCGTCGAGCGCAGCTGGTGTTGATTTCCGCATCTTCCCACGTTTTCCGCGTGTGCAAGTGTACGGTACCATGCAAACATGAACATGTAAAAGGCGCGCTCACCAGTCTTGCGTAGTAGCCCGGCTTATGCACGCGACACGTGGCGCGTCTCGTGTACTGGCCCGGCTTATGCATGCGACAGGCTTGTACGCGAAAAGCTGTTGCAGATTTCATGCTTCTACACGAGACAGGCTTATGCACAAATCCGGCTTATGCACGCGACATTACGGTATGCGTAGCAATACACCTCATACAAACTTCCACAAATACACTGAGAAGATATACGCAAACTTACTGATTTCGCACATGGCATAAATTTCATCGGATGGGGTACGCCTATTTCCATTGGTATCAGATACGGAACCATTAGTGGCCTGTTTGTCGACCCAGCCAATGTACCATTGGCCAGTTACATTTGATGCACACCCCGCATCGAAAGCACTACTGCTAAGGATACTGGCATTTGCGTTGTGGCAAAGCGTCACGGCATTCGGGTGGTTCAAGTACTGGTTGTCAAATGTTCGTCGGACAACCGCATTAGTCTTCGCACAGTATTGATATTGGACCAAACCTGCAAGTAAAATGTATGTATGTAGTCACAGGCCGGGAAACCCAATCATCATACTCTAGATTGTGAAAGGGTAACCACCCTTAATTCAACACATGAATATTATGATGAGGATTTCTGTAAAACCAGATGACAAACGTAACAATCATATTGGTGTTTTTTGCCCTCTCCCTCTTCCTTTTTTCTTACACGTTTTGATTTATCAAATTCCCATTTGGCACCACTGACTGTACCTCGATCATCGCTGTTGTTATTCTTTAGTTCGTACATTCATTTTGAAACACCAGCTTGCATAATATCCCGGTGTTCTATGTCCACCACTCAGTGGTGTATTGGATCTGATAATCATCAGAAGAAAACGTTGGAGTCACGCCGCTCCACCTAAGTGTGCAGATGCATGTAAAGAATGACTGCGCATCATGGATGTATTTCTTGCTAGAAACTAAGCCTTCAGTCATTCATTGTGTGTGTGTGTGTGTGTGTGTGTGTGTGTGTGCGCGAAGCGCAGCGGCATGCCAGCCTCGCTGGAGAAGGCCATTCGTGCGAATCGCCTGCGATGGCTTGGTCACCTCGCAAGGATGGACGACACCAGGTTGCCAAAGCAGATCCTGTTTGCGGAGGGCACTAACACGCGCCGCCGCCCTGGACCCAAGCGTCGTTGGAGAGATGTGGCAGCTTCAGACCTGCGTGCGACCAGTATCCCGGAGGCGCAATGGTACCACCTTGCTCAGGACCGGAGGGACTGGCGCGAACGTAGCCGTCGGAAGCCACCAAGCCAGCCCCAACCAAGAGTGTTCGTCTGTTACTGCGGCCGCGACTTTCGCCGTCCGAATGATTTATCCCGACACAAGAACTACTGCCTCGCCTAATAGCTATCATCGCCTTCGGCGATGGGCTTTCCAAAGGTCCAAAGGTGTGTGTGTGTGTGTGTGTATGTGTGTGTGTGCGTGTGTGCGTGCGTGTGCGTGTGTGCGTGTGTGTGTGTGTGTGCGTGCGTGCGTGCGTGCGTGTGTGTGTGTGTGTGTGTGTGTGTGTGTGTGTGTGTGTGTGTGTGTGTGTGTGTGTGTGTGTGTGTGTGTGTGCTTACACCAAGCGTACATGAAACCCAGAGTGTGCAGCTTGGATGGGTTGCAGCCATTACGGAATTCTGGGATTACATCATTGTGGTGATCTAGTGCGAACAAGCTAGATTCAAGCAGGTGCCTTGTTGCACCACTGCAGCTCAGTTGTATCAAGAGTACATAATTATCCCCCCCCCCCCCCCCCCCCCCAGAGTGTGCAACGCCTGATCCAGCTCTGCATAGGGTCTTGGTCGAGCGTAATAGGGTCTTCTGATGTCATGCGTACACTCCACACCAGCGCAAGGCCGGTCTCGAGGCATGCACTCGGCCACTTCCCACTTCAGATCTGCACCAAATATAATGTATTCCCGGAATTTTGCCGCGACACACACCCATGCAAAAAAAGTCCTAAGCTGCACATTCTGGGGTTCATGTACTCTTGCTAGCCCCCTTCATTTGGGCCGGCTCACTGCAGCAGTAGATGATCAGCCGGGATAGAACAGTGCAGATGGATGGTATTCACTATGAATGTTT